CATAGAAATATCCTCAAGCGTGATCGTGCACTCTCCGCACGGAAGATAGAATGTGTGGGTCTCCGGCCTCCACCGCTCTACTAAGGCAGAAATAAGGTATGGTTCTATCTTACAGTGACCCTGATATATACCTATGTAACTAAATCTAGCCTCTACTAAATACGTCAAGACACGACTAGGTATCACTAACTTAAGATTCCTAATAAAAGGATCTAATATACGGTCTTTCTCCTAAAAATAAATAATTACAAAAATTAATTCTTAATCTAATAATCATGCATTAAATAAATTAACAAATTATTACTAATAATTTAAATTAAATTAAAACGTTAAAATGTTACCGTATCAGCAAAGTGTCGAGATATATGATTTCCATCTAAGCGAAGTAAACCACCTTCCATTATATATCCGCAAAAAAATTATATTAGTAAAATATTAAATAAAGTAAAATACTTAAATAAATTAAATACATAATATTAAAAATATTATAAAATATACCTTAAATGAGAGAGTATTTGAGAGAATTTGGTGTGATGAAAGTGATTGAGGATGAGGTATATATAGGGAAGGGTGGGGTGTGAAAGGTCGGGTAATTAAAGCTATAGCACGCCCCCTGCACCGCGCTATACCCCACGTGTCAGATAAATAGGTATAGCGCAGAGCAGGGGCCGCGCTATAGCAACGTGTAACCCAGTCAGCGTATAGTGCGGGTCAGGGGGCACGCTTTACTGCTACGGGTGTTAGATCGGAAAATATGATCTGACCGGTGTTAGATCGATAAATATACCGATTACCGATGATATTTCGAGAAAAACGCCCAGGATTGACATAATAGTTCATTATGATTGATATGAGTAAAAAGTTGTTGGACTCGATGTTTAATAGTTGTGAAATAAAAAAGTTAAGAAATGCCTATGAAGGAGGGAATTATGCCTAATAAAATCATCAAATCCTCTTTTATACTCTTTGATACAATTGTTTCTAAGTGTCACATGACCACAACTGATACATAATATTCCGAACAACATCATCATTTCTCTCCTTTAAACCAATTGAATTGCTAGTCGATATATTAAGTGGTCTTAATGATTAAGCAGAATATTATTCTTTTTGAAAATCGTAGGTAAAAATAATTATGCATGATATATGTACAATTATCACTCTTAAGAAAAATTCTAAACAAATACTACTATACATTCCTACTTTACTACTAAAAAAATTATGCGGTGTCATATGAAAGTCAACCTTCAAAGTAAACAGTGACCGGTAAAACCACCATCGGTGTAGTAGGATCATTGTGTGATTTTTACTTTCATTGCTTGCTAATGAAACAGACCAACATCATTGTTGGGCCATAACATATTAATGCTTGACCATATATTATTACTGACCCATACTTCTTATATGTATATATATAATATTTTTATGTATATTAATAATATTTAAAATTAAATTAAATTAAATTTTAATAAAAGAAAAAAAATTTAATATTACTCTTTATTTAAAAAATAAAAATTATTTAAAATTATTAAATTTCTTATCGATATTCTATATTATGCTGCATAGGGATGTTACCTTGATTAACCAACTCAATCGTCCACAATGATACAGACAGCCCGTACACACTTTCGAAAGGGAATTCCTTTAGAAAAGGGAATCGTAAAGCTACCTAATTATCAATATAGTAGTGCTTGCTCAATGAGACATGATTAGGTATATTAATTATTTTCTTTTATACAATCATAATACTAGTTATTATATAGAACAAGTAATTAATGTTCTACTTATCGAGTAAAAATAGAGATTATAATATGGTAAGATAGATTTTTATATAATTCTCACCATTTATGAAAAATAGGAATTGGTATCCTAATATATAGCTATATGTAGGAATCATTGATCAGATCCGCAGGTGATTGGAGGTTCATGAAGTGGGCTATGAGCCATCCCTATGAATCAGTGATAGGCTGGAAACCCTCGATGCGATCGGGACAGCCCGATATGTCCTTTATATTTTCAGTAGCTGCTCTGACTACTAATTAGTACTCGTATTGATTCTTTTTTGGAAATATAAATGCAAGTGTCAATTCCTTTCCATTTCAAGTGAAGCAAACGTAATACGCTCCCACTCATGGTCTGCCAACATATGTTAACAGCTATTACAGTGCACTTTTAATGGATCATATAGTTAAAAAACAATTATAAATTTAAATAAATATCGTAAAAAGTGAATATTAAGTATATGTTTTATGGGTTAAGAAGACAAATGGTGTCCCCTGATTGGCAGATCAAGTACTAAAGGACTGTTTGTTAACATAATTGAGATTAGTAGGAGCAAATAAACATGAATTATTATGCATGCAGGGAAGTGTAAATGTGTAATAGAACAGAGAGGTGTTGATACAATAATGAAAGTGTGGGGTTGTAGAGAGGGACAGTTAAAAGACGACATAGACTTAGCTGGAGAAGCTAGCTAGTGTTGATAAAGGAAATTAGCCGTCCTACCGAACTCTAGGGTTTTCAAGTAGACCCTCGGATGCCATTTACTTGTCATTCTGTGTTTTCTCGTGCAAACGGTTTGTGCATAATTTGTATGTATTTAATTTTGGAGTATATATTGGTTTTTTTTTAATTTATTAAAGTATTAATAATAAGATAATATGATATTTGGTGTTACTATAGAAACTCAAAATATTTCTTTTTTATTTCCATTCATATTACCTTTTTTATTTATCAAAATTAGAAATATTTTTATCCATCTTTAGTAGTTGATAAAATTATCATTTTTCTAAGCGATGAATTTGTTTCATCATCATTTATCATTTTATCAATTTATTTTTTTTAAACTCATAAAATTAACACAAGCAAAAATTCACCATTTTTTTGTGAGTTTAAGAGTTTTTCAGATTTGAAAGATGTGGACTTTTGTTTGAAAATATAAACGAATGAGAAGTATTTTTTTTTAGAATAATAACAACATACATCAAAATAAATCTCATCAATGTCCGTCAAAAAAGATCGAAGCATTAGAAATTTAATTTTTCATTGATTTTGAATGAGTTTAGTAGAAAATCAATTTGAAGAGAATAATATATGAGTGAATTGTTAATGTTTTGTATTGATATTATAGTGAATGAAAATCATTGACAAGCGATGATTGGCTGACAACAGTGATCAAAATAATTGATGATTTTCTATAGAGATTAAATTGACACGTAAACTAAAGTTCAATAGTTCAAATTGAAGTGATTTAAAGTTCACGCGGTAAAAGCGACAACGTAACCGTTACATTAACAATCTAATGGCCCAATACTCTAATTGAACTCAAAATTAAAGTTCATTGTTGTAATTGAAACAATTTAAAATCCATTGAGAAAAATATAGAAACCCTAAAGTTCAATGGTATTTAAATAGTTTAGCCAAAATTTCAAAAATACAAGAATATAAAAATGGGATGAAACTTTGAACATCAGTATGATTATGGGCGTGTAAAACTTGACTTGAAAACTAACTTTTTCAACTTGAATCGATTTGAATTGACTTCGAGTTGTAATTTTGTAAACTCGACTCAATTCAAAAAAAATTCAAGTTAAAATCGAGTGTGAAATACAATTCGAATAACTTAAATTTTTTAGTAATTAATGAATTGATTTTCAAGTTTAAGTCAAATCTTTCGACTATGTATAATATATGTATATCACATATGAAAAACATAAAGAAATATATGTAAGTATTGTATATTGTCATAAAAACCATTTAAATTAGAATAAAATAATATCATAATATTATAAATATTTACCATTAAATTTAAACATAAATTCAAAATGTTGACTCGACTCGAAAATTTCTTAAATAAACTTTGAGTTAAAGAATATGACTAATCAACTTGAATAAATTAAAATATTTTAATTTGATTTGATCGAGTGATACCTCGGCGACCAAAATTCCATGCGCCGCCGTAAACTCGGAGTCTCCGCCCTTAGACGACGCGGGGGGCCTCCTTTCCCTATCGTCAATTAAGAAGTAAAAAACATATTAAATGGTCCGAGAAAACAATGTTCAGATACTCTTTTTGTTTTGGGAGCCGCGTGTTGCAATTGCTGTACAAATCATGCATGACAATTGACAAATCCCTCTTACAACCTCGGTCCCCGCCCCTTAATTTGTTTTTTAATTACGAATATATAATATTTAATCCCTGGATCGAGGTGTTGAGAGTAGGTAAAGTGTGCGACGACGCAGGGTATTAAAAATAGAGATATCGAAATCGAATATATTTATTAGTTGTTGTCGTTAAGACACATAAAAATAAGTATAGAACAGTGGTTAAATCATTGGGCTCATGACTTTGTTGATCCTAAGTTCAAATCTCATTAACAAGTAAAATTATTTTTGGGAAAACAATGCAAGTGAGTTTGCTCAGTGTAATACAACAATAAATTTTTTATTATTTTAGAAAAATAAGTTCGGGATCTAAGGACTCCTTTATAAGAATTTACATAAGAACTCCAATAACCTAGCCACGCCTTGAATCGAGGTTATTATCTCAATTTGGTCCTTAATTGTATTTTAATTACAAATAATATTTTGATTATATATAAAATATAAATATGAATTATTATGTTTAAAATTTAGTATTTAACCAACTAGAAGTTTAGGTAAAATTAACTGAAGGGTAATATTCAAGATGGTTCCACACAACACAATCTTCGACTTTTTGCAGGTACTCCTTTCTTGGGCTCTACAGTTGCTTTAGCCTCTGCTATCATTTTCCATTATTATTAAGTTTTATAATATCTTTCAACTTTCCCTTTTAGAGATACGCTGGCAATCATAATATTCCAATCACAAACATCCCACAACGAAGATCATAAGCACTCCAATGAAACACAACACTCAACCTAGTCCCCATGTAATGGTTCTTCTGGTTCCTGTTCTGGTTTTTGTCTAAGCATTTCTTCTACCTCGCTCTCTATCTGTTTCTTGTTCGGTCCCGTTTCATGACGGGTGACACGAAAGGAGATGGTACCCAAAAGCAGACGCCACAACAACAGTTGTCGTCTTCTCCAAGAGAGTCCTTCGAAGAATCGTCGGAATCGAAGCAACAAAAGCATCTACAACAGCAGACATCGGGTGGTGTTGTGGTCACAGCTACTGGACCACCACCTTTCATTTCCGCGCCTTTATATGTACCTTCTTCTACGTTTGAACAACAACAGTTCGAGTCTGTTAATCCCAAGAGGACGCGATATAACAGTGGTGGTAGTACCGGACAATGGAAACTAATCACCGCCGAATCAAGTTCATCACCGACAACGAACCCCTTCAACATACAGACTCAACCTCGTGTCATCGCTGGTTCCTCATCCGACACTGCTTCTCCACCGCAGTCTCCTCTCCCTTCCACGACCTCAGGCGGCCAAGAAACGTGCAAATCAGAAGGGGAGCAGTTTCATCACCAATTCAGGAAGGGAAAATATGTGAGTCCCGTTTGGAAACCGTATGAAATGTTGTGGTTAGCTAGGGCTTGGAGGGTTCAGTATCTCGGTGGTGGGTCTGATGCTTCTGGTTCTTCTTCAAGAGCCGATGTTGCAGTACAACAAACGAGGGGCAAAACTAGGGCTGATAAAGACAAGGAAGTGGCTGAGTTTTTGAACAAACATGGGATCAATAGAGATGCCAAGACAGCTGGGACTAAGTGGGATAATATGCTGGGTGAGTTTCGGAAAGTGTGTGAATGGGAAAGAGGAGGGGAAAAAGAACAAGTTGGTAAAAGTTACTTCAGACTTTCTCCTTACGAGAGGAAACTACATAGATTACCTGCTTCTTTTGATGAAGAAGTCTTCGAGGAGTTGTCTCAGTTCATGGGACCTCGCATGAGAACTTCACCAAGCGATGATGCTCGAGGCTTCAAAGCTCTGCCTATGCCTCCTCCTTTCAAAGAAGAACTTCCTCTCTCTGGTAAGTGAAAAGCATCTTTTTCTTTTATTTATTGAAGCATGAGGTTGGTGTTATAACGTTTTGTTTGTATCCTTAGCGAGGACGAAACAACTGGTGCCGGTGACGAGTCTGTTAGGGCTCGACACTTCGCTAGTCGACGTTGGCGTTGGGGGCTATCACTCTTCTTCTTCATCTTCAATGGAGCTTCGTAGGATTGGGAAGATAAGATTGACATGGGAGGAGTCGGTGAATTTATGGGCAGAAGAAGGTGAGCATCATAAAGGAAGAGTTCGACTTCAAGGTTCGAGCTTTTTAAACGCCGATGAACTCATTTTCTTTGATGATGCCATGATTGCTTGTACAATGGAAACATTCGAAGATGGCCCACTAAAAGGTTTCTCCGTCGATAGATTCCTGAACGGACAGCAAGTTAAAGTCCTTGGCAGAAGAAAGCCATTCCCAGCTTCATCTTCTACTTCTGGTACAAAACATTTTATTTTTCTGAAATTTTGCAGGCATTTCCATTATCTTAAAGTCACCCTCTTTAATGATACCAGGTTTCTTTGAAAGACCTCATCCTCTTTTTGTTAACCCTTTATCAGATGCAAGTCTAATTTATTTTTATTACAAAATTGAGGAAACATGCATGCGTTGATGAGATTATTGTTTCGTTTGCTACTTGTTACACAGCAATGCCTCCGATGGAGTTACAAGACCCTACGGAGTACTACGTTGCATGCCTTCGAGTTCCTCCTCCGACGTTGCCGAGCTTGGTTGAGCTTTCATGGCATTTACAAGAGCCACCACCCGAGGAATATCGGTTTCCGTTGAGAAGAGATGTTTACCGAGATTTGCCACCTGGTAAAGAAGCTCTATTTACTGCTTCTAATGAACTGTTAGATTGTAGAGCTATCGTGTATGATCTGTTGGGCCCGATTATCCGCACGAACCCTAGGCTGAGTGCTGCTACTGCCACAGCCAGAGACTCTTATATTGGCCTTTGGGATGATTGCATTAATAGGGTTGTCTCGAAATTTTGTTCGGTCGAAATGGTTGTTATCCGGAAACCGGCTTCATCGTCGACCGATCAGCCATTGCAGGATCAATGGCCAAACGTAACAGGTTTTGTTAAAAATTTTTGCTTGTGGAGGGGGGAGGAGATTGATCAACTGAGGGAAGGTCAGCTTGACCCCTCATCATCAATTGTGGAGAAATTTTTATGGACTTACATGGATCTTCCCTACGTATTAGCCTATTATGCTGTTGGCTACATGGTAACATTTTGTGCATTAATCCGATCGCAAGATCGAATTATGTTGACAGATTTATATTCGGTAGATCTATCATCCCCGTCGGAGAGACTAAAAGCACTAGTGCCTTGTTGGAGGATAGCAGGCCTGTTGCCTTTGCTGGCCGATCGATGCTTGAATAACCTCCGTAATGTTGGCTCATACAAGCAATTCCCGTTCAGCGATTTTGGAAGGATCGATTTGGGGAACGGAAACATAGTCGAGATGACACCAAACACCGTGGTGAGATCGTTCTTGAGCAAGAAAAAATGGGCGGCGGTGAAAGACATATACGATCACATGTTGGATCATAGAATCCCACACACCGAATTCATTTGTCGGGCATCCGAGAAGGATGGTACCTTGGCGTTTAAACCTAGAGGGTGCAAATTCAAGCCACTAAACTGTGACCAACTTGTGGAAGCTCTCAAATACGTGACGAAAGCATTGGTAGCTCTACATGACTTGAGCTTCATGCACAGAGACCTGTGCTGGGACAAAGTGTTGAGACGGAGCGACAGTGAGAACGAATGGTTCGTCGGTGGCTTTGACGAAGCTGTCGGTGCACCCCAAATATACCCGCACCCGGTTGCGATCGTGGATGCCTGCGGAAGGTACGCGCCGGAGATGGGGCGGGGATTACTGTTGGATCATAAACTTGATCCATTATGGGAGCCTAAACCCAAACCCAAACTAAATTGATGTCATTACTTACATCATTTAATTAAAGATGTCATTGCTTACATCATTTAATTAATGATGTCATTGCTTACATCAATTTAGTTAGGTGAGAGTTAGATATTTGTTGAATTTGTAATGGTTTAAATTAGTTTATTTGTGTGGTGTAGGATTGTTCTTGAGTAGTATAAATACCCCTTCCCATTTTAGTTTTAAGCATCAAGAAAAATCAATAGCTTCTAAGTGAGTGAAGAAGCAAAGTCTTATAAGAGTGAGTTGTAGTTCTTGTTTTTGAGTGAGAGTGTTCTTGTAATATTTCTTTGAGCTTCAATAAAAGTTGCTTGTGTGAGCGTTTTATTTCCAACAAAGTGGTATCAGAGCGAGTTGGAAAGATCGAAGGTCTCGACAAGAGGAATACGACGCCGCCAGAATTTTCTCAATCTGAGTTCTGACGCACCGCCACGCACCGCCACGCACCGCCGGAAGACTGCTGCCAGAAAATCGAGTTGACTCACCGAGTTGAGCCGATTCAGCCGAGTTGGAGCCCTTGACCGAGTTGTCCAAGTCCCTCCAAAGTTTTTTTTTCATCGTTCCGGATTCATCCGTGCAATCGGATTTTACAAAATCTCATTATATTGAGAGATATGGCAAATGGTATGGCACCATTCCAAGTTCCGACACTCAACAACAACAACTACGACAATTGGAGTATCAAAATGAAGGCACTTCTTGGATCACAAGATGTGTGGGATATCATAGAGAAAGGCTATAATGAGCCTGCGAATGATGATGTTTTTGCTACTCTTACACCAGATCAAAAGACAACTTTGAAGGATTCAAGAAAGAGAGACAAGAAGGCTCTCTACCTCATCTATCAAGCATTAGATGATGATGGTTTTGAAAAGATTTCAAGTGCAAGCTCTAGCAAGGAAGCGTGGGAGAAGCTGCAAACCTCTTACAAAGGATCCGAGCAAGTGAAGAAGGTTCGTCTCCAAACATTAAGAGGTGAATTCGAATCCTTAAACATGAAAGCATCTGAGTCTATTTCAGATTATTTCTCAAGAGTAGTAGCTGTTTCTAATCAATTAAAAAGAAATGGTGAAAAGTTAGACGATGTGAGGATAATAGAGAAGATACTCCGTTCGTTGGATCCCAAATTTGAGCACATCGTCGTGACGATTGAAGAAACTAAAGACTTGGAAGAAATGAAGATCGAACAGCTCCAAGGATCATTGCAAGCATACGAAGAGAAGCATAAAAAGAAGCATGAGTTTACTGAGCAACTCCTCAAGCTGCAACTCAAGGATATGCATGAGAGCCAACGCAATGATAGAAACCAACGTGGCCAAGGCAGAGGTAGAGGCCATGGACGAGGTGGAAGTCGAGGTCGTGGACGAGGCTGGAATTACAACAATAACAATTCCAACAACAACTATGAGAAAGGAGAAAGCTCAACACGAGGCCGTGGAAGAATTAATCCAAACTCAAAGTATGACAAATCTCAAATTCGATGTTATAATTGTCAAAAATTTGGGCATTATGCTTCAGAATGTAGAGCTCCCAACAACAAAATTGAGGAGAAGGCCAATTACGTGGAGGAAAAGACAGATGGCAAAGAAACTCTTCTTCTAGCACGAAAGGAAACTGATGGTGTCCAAGCAAATTCCTGGTATCTTGACAGTGGTGCAAGCAATCACATGTGTGGAAGGAAAGACATGTTTGTGGAGCTAGACGAGTCAGTAAGTGGAAATGTTTCGTTTGGAGATGATTCCACAATAGCAGTGAAAGGGAGAGGTAACATTCTTATCCGTTTGAAAGATGGGAGACATCAATTTATTTCAAATGTCTACTATGTGCCCAATATGAAAAGTAACATTTTAAGTTTAGGGCAACTGGTAGAGAAAGGTTATGATATTCATATGAATAATTATAATCTTTCTATAAAAGATGATAAGAATAACTTCATTGCTAAAGTGCCGATGTCAAAGAATAGAATGTTCTTGATCAATATACAAAATGATGTTGCAAAGTGCCTGAAAGCTTGCTACAAAGATGCATCATGGCTTTGGCATCTTCGATTTGGGCATCTCAATTTTGGAGGTCTAGAGCTATTATCTAAGAAGGAGATGGTGAAAGGACTACCTCACATCAACCATCCTGACCAACTCTGTGAAGGGTGTCTAGTCGGGAAACAATTCAGGAAAAGCTTTCCAAAGGAGTCAGAGACAAGAGCTAAGAAGCCACTTGAGCTCATCCATACCGATGTGTGTGGACCGATCAAGCCAAGCTCTCTCGGTAACAATAACTATTTTCTTCTCTTCATTGATGATTTTTCAAGAAAAACCTGGGTATATTTCTTGAAACAGAAGTCAGAAGTTTTTGAAGTCTTCAAGAAGTTCAAAGCAGCAGTGGAGAAAGAAAGCGGTAGAAATATCAAAGCCATGAGATCCGATCGAGGTGGAGAATTTACTTCCAGGGAGTTTCAAGAGTTCTGTGAAGCAAATGGAATTCGTCGACCAATGACAGTTCCTAGATCCCCCCAGCAAAATGGTGTGGCAGAAAGAAAGAATAGAACAATCCTCGACATGGCACGAAGCATGCTCAAAAGCAAGAAACTACCCAAAGAATTTTGGGCGGAAGCAGTATCGTGTGCAGTCTACTTGTCAAATCGATCTCCAACAAGAAGTGTATGGGGAAAGACACCGCAAGAGGCATGGAGTGGAAGAAAGCCTGGCATTTCCCACTTGAGAACCTTTGGAAGTATAGCCCATGTTCACGTACCAGACGAGAGAAGAACGAAGCTTGATGATAAAAGCGAGAGTTTTATCTTCATCGGCTATGATGCTAATTCGAAGGGCTACAAGTTGTACAATCCAGACAATAAGAAGTTTGTGATTAGTCGAGATGTGGTCTTCAACGAAGAAGGAGAATGGGATTTTAACTCTCATACAGATGACTTCAATTTCTTTCCTCAGTTTGAAGAAGATGAGCAGACAATGAGGGAGCAACTAGATGAATCTCAACAAGAGCTTGCAACTCCACCCACTTCACCAACATCAACCACTCAAGGAGACTCGTCACCTTCATCATCGTCAAGTGGGAGTCAAAGTGAAAGAGTTGTGCAACGCACAAGAAGCCTTAGAGATCTCTATGAGGTAACTGAACGACAAGATAATCTTACATTATTTTGTCTGTTTGCCGATTGTGAACCAGTGAGCTTTCAAGAAGCGGTACAAGAAAAGAAATGGAGAGATGCGATGGACGAAGAAATCAAGGCCATCGAGAAGAATGACACATGGGAACTTACCTCACTTCCCAAGGGACATAAGGCGATAGGTGTCAAATGGGTGTACAAAACAAAGCAAAACGCCAAAGGAGAGATTGAAAGGCACAAGGCGAGGCTAGTTGCTAAAGGCTATAGTCAAAAGGCTGGAATTGACTATGATGAGGTATTTGCTCCTGTTGCTCGATTGGAGACTATCAGACTAATCATTTCTTTGGCAGCTCAAAACAAGTGGAAGATACAACAGATGGATGTAAAGTCCGCCTTCCTAAATGGAGTTCTTGAAGAGGAACTTTATATTCAACAACCATCAGGCTATGAAGTCAAAGGGCATGAAGACAAGGTGTTGAAGTTGAAGAAGGCTCTTTACGGGCTAAAACAAGCACCAAGGGCATGGAATAGCCGAATCGACAAGTACTTCCAAGAGAATGGCTTCAACAAATGTCCCTACGAGCATGCTCTATATATCAAGATCAAAGATGAAGATATTTTGATCGTGTGCCTCTACGTGGACGATTTGATCTTCACTGGAAGCAACCCAAGCATGTTTAATGAATTCAAGGATGTGATGATGAAAGAATTCGAGATGACAGACATGGGGCTCATGGCGTACTACCTTGGCATTGAAGTTAAGCAACAAAATGATGGAATTTTCATTTCACAGGAAAGCTATGCAAAGGAGATACTGAAGAAGTTCAAGATGGAGAACTGTAAGCCAATAAGCACACCGGCAGAATACGGGATCAAGATGACCAAACATGAAGAAGGCGAAAGTGTAGATCCAACATTCTTCAAAAGTTTGGTAGGAAGTCTACGCTATCTAACTTGCACGAGACCCGATATTCTTCACGCAGTTGGATTGGTTAGTCGCTACATGGAATCCCCAACAACCACCCATTTTAAAGCCGCAAAGAGAATTCTTCGCTATCTGAAAGGTACAATTGACTTTGGCTTGTTCTATTCAGTTTCTAATGATTACAAGCTTGTTGGATATAGCGACAGTGATTGGGGTGGAGACATAGATAATCGAAGGAGCACTACTGGATTCGTATTTTTCATGGGAGATATTGCATTCACATGGATGTCAAAGAAACAACCGATTGTCACATTATCCACTTGTGAAGCGGAATATGTTGCTGCTACCTCATGTGTTTGTCATGCAATTTGGCTTAGAAATCTATTGAAGGAGATTGGTTTGATACAAGAAGAGCCTACCAAGGTTTGTGTCGACAACAAGTCAGCCATTGCCTTAGCGAAGAATCCAGTATTCCATGATCGAAGCAAGCACATTGATATTCGCTACCACTATATAAGGGAGTGTATTGCAAGAAAAGATGTGGAAGTTGAATATGTGAAGTCACAAGATCAAGTTGCTGATATTTTTACCAAGCCACTGACCAGCGAAGACTTCTTAAGATTAAGGAACCTACTAGGGGTCACGAGATCAAGTTTAAGGGAGGGTGTTGGATCATAAACTTGATCCATTATGGGAGCCTAAACCCAAACCCAAACTAAATTGATGTCATTACTTACATCATTTAATTAAAGATGTCATTGCTTACATCATTTAATTAATGATGTCATTGCTTACATCAATTTAGTTAGGTGAGAGTTAGATATTTGTTGAATTTGTAATGGTTTAAATTAGTTTATTTGTGTGGTGTAGGATTGTTCTTGAGTAGTATAAATACCCCTTCCCATTTTAGTTTTAAGCATCAAGAAAAATCAATAGCTTCTAAGTGAGTGAAGAAGCAAAGTCTTATAAGAGTGAGTTGTAGTTCTTGTTTTTGAGTGAGAGTGTTCTTGTAATATTTCTTTGAGCTTCAATAAAAGTTGCTTGTGTGAGCGTTTTATTTCCAACAATTACATGGGGTGAAAGTAGACGTGTGGGGAGTAGGCCACTTGGTCAAGACCTGTGGGCTAACGAATTTGCCTAAGATGCTGAGAGAGTTACAAAATAGATGCTGGGATCAGAACCCTGAGCAAAGGCCGACGGCAGCCGATTGTTACCACCACTTGTTGCAGTTGCAGTCAGCTTCATCCACTGCAACGTATTGATCCAACACCGTCTGATCAAACAATTTTTACATTTATTAGTTCCCTAAGAACATTTTTTATGTTGACAGTAATTAATTAATGACAGGGTTTTAGGTATTTAGAGTTGCGTAGGGGGATGTTCGAATAGAACTGGTGGTGAATTGAATGAGACCTGGGGTGGCTGTTTTACGAGGGGGTGTCTGTCTGTCCGCTTTACTTGGTAATATTGTCTGGGATTTTGGCAGAGAAATGGCGGCTGCTGCTAAAGGGCGGCTGGCTGCCATAGATACAGTCCTTTGTTATCAAATCAAATTAAAGTTTTTGTGCTTACTATCATGATTTATACTTTGGTTTCAAGATTTATACTTTGGTTTCAAGAATATCATCAACATTCACACACACATATATATTTACACATACATACATCTATATAAAATAAACTTACTGTTGCATGGATGATGCTCATCTGTTAATGTAAGACGGGGACGAAAACCAGATTTTGAGACCTCAAAAACTCAATACTTATACAGTTTCATCCGTGTGCGTAAGGGCTATGGCTGGATACATACACACATATATAAAAATATATATATTAGAGTTTTCGTGTTTCCATAGATAAAAGTGAAATACAAGACATTTTTGAAGTCTAGTAAGAATGCTTTCATATCATCAGTCTCCATAGATGTTACATTCGCATGGGTTCCTGACGGCAGAGTGCCTTCCACATGGGGCCATTGTGCCTTCCACATGGGGCCATTGTGTCTTCCATTATGGCGTCGCACCCGCAATATATAACCCCCAATACCAACTGTCGAGCATTATGGATCTAGTTTTTATACAATAGGGGATCACTTTATAGACCAGTAGCCATATAATGAACGACTTTGGGGATCAATACATTGGTATTATCTTCTTGAAAGAAGTCTCCTTCCCTTCATCTTCATCATCTAAACTGGCTTATAAACCGTAGAGAATCTAGAAACACAAACTCAGATCCTTTCATAATTTACTCATTGTGTTGCGGATCCTCGTATCCAAGAACAATCATGGGATCATCTCCAATCACAAGTGGTTGAAACACTCTTGAACCTTGTCCTATAATGGAGCACGTAAAGGTTGGGTGTTGCTTGAATATGGGGGTACACGATGAAAGAACTTTTCCATTGTAGCAACTTTGTTGGGCAGCTTATTTATTGGGACGCCCCCCACTCTCAATTCTTAAAGGAATCCTCGTAAAAGTTGCCCCCCTAAGCCTTTTTGAAGGTATCTTTGCATAATTATTATAGATTTTAGGCTACAAACTACTAGTTTATATTTATGATTACAACTTGTGAATGAGAATTTTTCATATGCAAAAATATATTTATAAATAATATTTTAATAAATAATTATTAATAAAATAAAAAATTCTATATGAATAGATAAATATATTTATAATAATATTAATTATCTTTTAATATTGACTCGTTATATAAACTTACACCTAGTTTTTTTTTAAACAAGGAGTCAATATTTATAATAATATTAATTATCTTTTAAAACAAGGAGTTAATATTTATCATTAAATGAGGGGAAATCAACGGCTGAGATTAACTCATTATTTTTTTCAATGAATATCTTCTTATTTTCTACTGTTAATCACAATATTTAATTTTCCTTCATCCAATGATCTTAAAAAATATGTAAAACTTTTTAGTTTTACACTATGTAATTGGATCATAGCCTTATATATACATACATATATACATGAGTTACGATCCACTTACATAATGTAAAACTCTTTTAGTTTTACATAGATTTAGAATCGTTAGATGAGTGAAAATAGATTACTAGTTCTTTGTTTTTCCCGGGGAATATATTATCATTTCCTATTGTAAATCTCAGTCATATATTTTCACTCATCTAATGGACTTAAATATGTGTAGAACCAAAATAGTTTTACATTTTGTGATAGGATCTTATATATATGTTAACTTTTACTTTGGATCAATTTCAGATTATCCTTGGAAAGTGTAGTAAAAAAATACATAATTATCAACAATCTATAGAGTAAGTAGTTAAAGGCTTTCAGTTGAAACCTCCTCTCTCACCTAAATTGTGAGTTCAATATCTATTATGAACAAATTTCTCCTTCTCCTCCTTTAGGTAGAAATTGTTCAAAAAAAACAAAGTACATAATTAATTATATTATGCATTATCGAATTATGATCTTCAGTCTCAATTAGTCCCTAAACCTTTTTATATTATAATTTAATCATCAAATTATGATATTCATTCTATATTAGTCTTCAAATTTTTGAATATTTTAATTTCTTATCCAAACTTTTAAATGATTTGGATATGTTACAAGAATAAGTAAAATGTAATGATTTATTTAGTATTGATTTAAATATATCAATTTTTGAAATATTTAAAATGGATATTAATTTAAATATTATTTTTAAAAAGATGACTGACTTGCTTAGGAACTGTAATTAGAACTTAGAGTGAACTATGAAATTGGTTTTCTGCAGCAAATTTGGGCTAAGAATCCACTATTGCAAAGTCTTTAGACCTGTGGTCCGGTAGTGTTAGTATAAAATAAAGTCAACAATGAAAAATGAAGCTTCCTTCCAACTTCCAAATGAGCCTACTTGCATGGATTTCTAATAATAAAATGAAAACTTGTTTAACAAACATGGCCATTATACCATGAACATAACTGCTTGGCCAAGCAATATCTCTTATCTACCTTCATAATTTGGTCACTATATAGAGGTGATTGAAACACAGAACGTTGAAAACCAGAGCAAAAGAATGTCGTCCAAGTACTCTGCCAATGTCGGATCAAACAAAAGCAAATCCTCCTTCCAATCCCATCGCCGTCCATGATCCCTACAAGCTATTTGAAATCAGTCTTAACCCCGACGGCTCACTTAAACGCAACCCAAATGGTTTCCCAACATGCCGGCCACGCCTGATCCGGATCAACCCATCTCGGTTCTCTCCAAGGACATCACTATCAACCAGTCAAAACACATGTGTTCGCATATTCTTGCCCCGGCAGCAGGTGCTTGGTACATCTTCAGGCACATACAAGTTGCCCCTCATAGTTTACTTCCACGGGGGAGGATTTATCCAGTGTAGTGCGTCGACGACAGGCTTCCATGTTTTTTGCTCCACTATGGCGTTGCAGATACAAGCCATTGTTGTGTCCGTTGACTATCGTCTCGCTCCTGAGCATCGGCTTCCAGCGGCTTACGATGATGCCATGGAAGCGTTGTGTTGGATCAAAACCACACAAGAAGAATGGTTGAGACAATACATGGATTTAAACACTTTGTTTCCTTATGGGGACGAGTTCAGGTGGTAATATTGTGTACCATGCTGGTATACGTGCATCCGATGAGCTTGAACCATTGAAGATCCGAGGGTTAATTTTGCACCAACCATTCTTTGGTGGATCCTTGAAGGTTGAGTCCGAGTTAAGGTTGGTCAACGATCCCGTATTGCCACCAGGCGTGAGCGATATGTCATGGGAATTGGCATTGCCGATTGGGGGTGACTGTGATCATGAGTATTGTAATCCAACATCCGGCAAGGGGCCAACGCTTTTGGGAAACCTTGCCTCAATAGGATGGAGGGTGTTGGTGACCGGCTGTGATGGTGACCCTTTAATCGATCGTCAGCTCAGGCTGGTCAAGTTGATGGAAGAAAAGGGTGTATAGGTAGTGAGCCATTTTCATGCCGGCGACCATCACGGAGTGGATGTTTCACAGCCTGTTAAGGCTGAGGCACTGTTTTTGGTCTTAAAAGATTTTATTTCATCTGCTTGCTAAGCTGCACTTGGAGATGGAAATGATAAGTTTCAGAACTTGTTAAGGACGGTGTAGGCCTTGTCCGGATATGTTCCGTTCTGATTTGTCTGATAAATTCCGAATCGAATAAATGCAGATAATAAATTTGCTAAATGCTTTATTATTTCTTTCTTTCACATAAACTACATAATGCTAGACTGAACAAAACTGAAGAGGGGACAGAAACGAAGGGGAAACTCAAATCATCAGTAAGTCTCATTTGATGGCATTTCATAGGCTTAGTATGAGTGTGTGCTTTATGTGATGACTGTAGGTTTCTCCCTTCCAGTGAAGCCCTTCAGCTTCGATACCGACAACGCCAAATCTGAAACACAACCATATGATTTGTTCATAAAATTGCAGAAACGAATAAATTGTCGACATGATTATGAGCATACCTATTAATGATTTCAATGCCACTTGAGCATCCATGTCATGTTTAGAAGCATCTGGTTCAAACTGCTCGATATAGATTCGAAAGGTTGCACCAGCAGAGCTGGTTCCCTGTATGTATATGGAATTAATCATACCAGAATGAGTAAAGAGTGTATGAGCCTTCGAATTTGGAGGGAAAACAAAATGTGCACGTACCGATAAACGGAATATAATCCTTGAACCATCGGTGAAAACAAATCGAACACCTTGCTTCGAGGCCACACTTCCATCTACCTGAAAATCAGACAAATAAAAATTAGAATCACAAAGCATAGAAATTTTAAGAATTCAGTAGTATGTGGGAGATCAAATTTTAAGCAAAGACTATGGAACTTGTAGAGAGCTAATACTTACTGGATCAGTATATGAGAAATCATCAGCAAATTGGAGGACATAATTTCCTACATACGGTGATTTTAAACAGTCAAACAGAAGCAAAATACAGAAGTGACGGTTGCCGATGCAGGGGGTAGAGGGGTTGATCGCAAACTTACCATACTTTTCACCAGCCTTATTCTTCGAGGCCAGATCTCTAAGGTATTCAATCATTTTATTTGCGCCTTCGGATGCACATTCCTGAACAGAACATTAATTAGAGAATATATACCTTCTCCAAAAGCAAAGAATTCCCTAGTTGAACTGAGTTAGAAACTATAAACTTATGAAATCTTGTTCCGTAAGGGAGCTATCATGCATACTTCATAACTGGAAAAGAAATTTCTTCCATAAGTTGTCCAGTGTTGTTTGACAACATTGGAGACAGGCACCAATCTCTCCCCCGGTTTCTTATCTTTGTTTCGATATGCGATAATTGAGAGCCATGCTAATACAGCCCTGCGATCCACAAAAATAGAAATCATTTTACTTTGATCCTATGTATAAGTTTACATCAAATAACAACATCCAAAAGTATTGACGAATGAGAAACCGTTTCCATAAAACGCAAGTGCTCAGGTCTTTTATGCAATTATGAAGACGCAGCTTACAAAAATGAGAACCAAAAGTAAATGCAGCTACATAAAGGAGCATGTAAACAATTCCTGCAGTCAAGCTTATGTTGGGATTGGTTACACTATTTAGTCAACGTTCCAAAAATCTCTTGGTTTTCTTATAAAAAAGAAAGAAAGCAAGTACCATATTCCATCTTTCTCACAAATGTGATCCGAACCAGTACCAAAACTTTCTTCACCACAAATTGACAACTTTCCAGCATCCATAAGATTTCCAGCCAGTAGGAACCTAGAACAAAAATACCAAGGGGTTTGAAGAATGTACCCTTAAAAAATAATCGCTTGCCCCCCAACCGCCCCCACAAAATTTTCCTCTCTCCCTGGTTTCTTATCTTATTAGAACACAAAAGTTGAGAATAGTGCTTACCTAAAAAAAATGTAAGACCCAATTTTTCAGCAACTCTATCAAGAGCACCGCTGGTTGGCATGGATTGAGCTAAACCCTGAAAATGTGAGATATGAGTATCTTTGGTTGAGAAAACATGAAAAGAAAAGCTGCTAGAACGTACCTTCGGACCACCGTGGAAGTATGGTATTGCTTCTTGTGCATTTGCAGCAATAATTGCAACGGAGTCTGGAGGGGTAACAAAAAACTTTTTACCGAGAATCATGTTTCTGTCGCAGTCTCCTGAGTGAAGAGAAAACAACTTGATTGTGATTAAATTCTAAGAGTATCAAATCTACCTTTTCTAAGGAAATACAATCAACTTTTGTTCTACAAGTTTGGACTAGGCTCGATATTGAGAATATATAATAAATACACATCTACAACAAAACCAAACAAAAGTCGTAAGTTAAGGTGCTTCGTAATGCCAAACCACACTCCAAAAAACAAAAATTTAAGATTTCTTTACCATCACTTGCTGCTCCAAAATCAGGTGCCTCCTCACTATACATGGTATTGACCAAATCCTTTGCATACCTGTTTTTTCATACAGGTTAGATAGTGGTACAATTTAATTGTTGAAGTGGAACCACAATTTTAGCACATAGCGACTATCTTACGTAAGATTAGGATCCGGATGACCATGTCCAAAATCCTCAAGAGGCACTCCATTCGATATAGAATCCTACATAGCATGGCTTACAAAGTTCATTAACAATTAGGTCAAATAGTATTTTTTTCAGATGTTTCATATGCATGACGTACCAGGTGGGCCTCAAGCTTGTCGACAAATATGGGTTTTGCATAAGCCCCAGTAACAGCATGCATGGCATCGAATGCAAACCTAAAAAGCAACGCCCAACACAGTAAAAATTAGTTATAAGATCTTATGTTTCTCAAGCATATTCGAACGGAAGATCCGTTGAAAAAATGAGTTGATTGAGATAAAATTTGTTAGGTGTAGTATAGGGATACTATGGCATACATCTAAACTTATCCATAGCCATTTCTAGCATGCTCTACTTCATAGCAGGCAACAATGTCGTAATTAAACAAAAACCAAACAAGCTAGGAGCAACCTAATACAACCGACAGTGACACCCATTCCTGCTTAGGCAAGGGCAGAAGTTATACCTGAAGTTTGATCTCGTGAGAAGACTTTTGATCAGCTGGAAATCGAACACAGTCTGCCCCATAGTATCAATGATACAAACACATGAAGTTTCGTCCAAAATTATAGGATGAGGTGGTCAATTTTTTTCCCTCACCTCCATTAATTCCAAATAGTCAGACACTGGATCTATAACCTCAACAGTGAAGTTTCCATAGTTAGTAACTCCAGTGTGAGAAAGGTCGATGTCAGGAATCTCAGCCATTTTAATCTCAGAAATCTGCACAGTATTTCCATTTTAGATATCAAGCAGCCATCCGCTCACACATGAAAAAGGGGGAAAAACAACAACGGCACTTCATCGCTCTTAAGTTAAACACAAACAGATGAAATAACTGACCAAAACTAAACGACCATGGACAGAAATGCAAGAGTGATTGTGTGAAACTAAGTTCATAACTGACTCCAATACTGAGGTAATTGCAAATCTGAAAAGCCACTAAGTTTTGGAATACAAACAATAGAGTTTGACTACGTTATTCTATTAATATAAAAAATTGATATTGTGTGAGGCTCGTTTTTCCTTTTCATATGTTTTCTTGATCTGGTAACAGTTGAACCAGAACTAAACTAAACTGAAATCTATTTTAGAACCTGAATGGTTGAATCTCGGGAAACAGTTTATAATCTAGATTTGCACACACAAACAAACCAGAGAATATATCCAGGAAAAGGTGTTCATCTAGAGCCTCTTTAACCAACTAGGAATTTACTCTTCAATATATATATATATATATACATACATAACAGTGACATGCAATACTTACAAAGAGTGTATTCCCATATATCTTGTCGGTGATGGATTCAGGTGCAGGTTGCCCACTGTTGTAATTAAACTAGAAAACAAGTAGATGAACACAATGGAAGTTAGAAGTCAAACCTATACACTGAAGTTGAAAGTAATGTAGCACTGTCATATTTCATTAAATGGAAAATATCTATCATAATTTAACCAGATATGTTGCTGAAGGTGCATTAGGAATAAACCTTGATACCCCAGCCATATTCAAGGCCTCCAGGATTATGGCTTGCACTCATGATAAATCCACCATTGGCCTAAAGGGGGGAAATTTTGTTTAACTAAGAGAGAAAAATACATGAATTGGGAAAACATTGATACCATTCAAAATGAAAAGAAGCATGCTTGCCTTCCTCTTTCGAATTACAGCAGAAACAGCAGCTGTGGACATGATACCGTCCCTTTAATGTCAAACAATCAAAATTAGACAAATATTGCTAGACAGCGTATTATCGGGAGCAGCAAATGTAATTACATTGGACATGATACCCAAAGTGTAATTATTTGATAACCTTCTTTTCCCCCCCTAAACGATGATTACATTGTCTGAAGAAAATAGACAACATATTGGCAGAAGTGGAAAGTTATACAAGTCTGGAGTGATTTTGTAAAAGGCGTATGCCCCACCCTTCATTTGGTTATATCCTTTAATAAAATTCATTAATGCCTAAACAACAAAAGCTGGGAAAGACAACTCAAGGCATATTTCAGGTTTCATCACTCTTCCCCGGGACAATGGTTACACTAGTGAAAGAACTCTCACCTGCCAACCAAGATTTTTCCAATTCCATTTCCAGCAGCAATTTTGATAATTATCTACATTCCAAATTCAAACATTACAAGAAGTCAGTCAAAGAGACTAATGTTTTTTTAAGTACATGCTTGAGTGTATTTGTTCCTTTCTGTTCCAAATTGTCTTAACTATGTTAACGAGATCCAAGTAGAACAATGCACTGACAATCAAGAATCGGCTCGGAAAATAACCTGCGAAGCTTCGCGGTTAAAGTACCGTCCATCGCCTCCTAATACCAAAACCCCATTCTTGTAATCCTCAGGTGGTAATGAATTAAACAACGACTGCAGACATACGAGATCAACACATCAATACCTTTGAACACCAAAACAAATATAATGAATGCAAAATGAAGAAATATAGAAAGAAAAAAAATCAAACCTGGATCCAATTTGAAAGGTAGTTCTCTTCCATAAAAACTTTAACCTGCAACAAATAAAACTTTCTGTTAAGCGATTGAATCCCAACCCAATTTCAATATCAACAAAAATGAAAATGTCTGCAACAGCAATAAAAATGCACCTTTTCCTAAGACCACTTGTCCCAGTCTTCTGCCCTTCAATTGGCTTGGTGGGAACTGAAGTTATCTGTTGAAAATAAAAACCAAAACCACTATTTAAATTACCAAAATAATTTTTAAAAACAATAATAAAAAAATACAGAAAGCCAATGATAAAAATGCAACCTTGATGCCTTCAGGCTCAGCAATGGTGGTGGATGAAGAAGAAACTTTGATGGAAAAAGAACGAGGGTGTGATAAAGAAAATGAGTTGTTTTTGAGAGGGAAACCGTTGGTATAGAGATTAGAGAAAGAAGAAGAAGAAGAAGAAGAAGAAGGAATCCAAATGGCATTTGATGATCGTTTCGATGATCTAAAAGCCGAAGAAAACATGAACATCCCTTCAAATCTCAAAGAATTGCAACAAGAAGCCATTACTACGTTAACCCTTTACCCTTTTCTTCAAATAATGAATGAATCAATGGGAAAATGAGAGTTTGTTTGGTCTGAATTTATATAGATTTGAGTGGAACGAACAGAGAAGGAGAGAAAATAAGAAAATTTCTAAGGTGAGTTTGAGAGAGTAAGCAGCTCCTTTTGCTTTCTTTGGTTATAAATTAATGAAGGCTTGTTTGTTTAATTCATAATAATTAAGTGTTGAATCATTTAAATGTTAAATGATTTAAATGTTGAATGATTTAAATGTTGAATGAATGAATTAATTCTATGTGACAAGCTGTTTGATAATGACTCTGAATTATTCAGAATGTACTTCTGTATTGAATCATTCAGAATGTACTCTATGCTGAATCATTCAACAATGTTTTGTTAAATCAATCAACACTGAATCATTCAGATATACGAAATAAATACGTTGAATTTTGAACGATTCAGCATTTAACGCTAAATGATTCTATTAAAAGACAAATAAACTGTCTTTAAATGCCATTGCCGGAGCCCATGTTAATGCCACGTGTACATTGGAAAGCGCTTTATCTTCCCTCCTACTACGATTTTTTTTTTTGAGTTCACGACATAAAATCTATATTCGAAATTCGGAAATTTTCTCTCAATAATTATTATCTGAGGTCCCTTGCCCCGGATAATTTTATAAATATTTATAAATTTTTAATACTAATATTATTATAATTATAAGAATGAATGTATTATAATTTTTTAAGATATTGTACAAATTTTAAATTATTTGTGTTTAATATGTCAATAGAATATTTTAAATATATCATTTAAAAATTATAAAACTTTTATCTTAAATGGACAAAATACATAAATAATCTATAGATTATAAAGTATTTTCTAATGCATCTCCAATTATAACAAAATGACTACTCGAGTTAAGAAAAATAGTAAATTAGTCATTTTTATTAAAATTAGAGAATATATGATGTGGCTGCTAATAAATTAAGATAACATAAAATTTAATATTTAATTTTAATTAATGTTACATAGTTTATTTTTATATTAGATAAATATAATTTATCTATTTTACATAAAATTAAAATTTATTTATGTATTACATTACATATTTAACTGAAGTTGATGTATAATTTTGATATATATTCTTAGTTTTTATTAAAATTATAACACGTTTTATTTGATTCGAACATACAATCGAATAAAAAATATCAAATTAATTATTAAAATGAGTTCGAATCAATCATAAAGTATGCTTAATTGTCTTCAATTACTGGCTTTAAAATTGGTGCTGATTAAGTTGCTCTTTTTAAGTGGTCAGTTTGAATAATTTAATTTTTTTGAAAAATAAGAAGTCCTTTTACGTATATAAATCGGTATCAATGCTTTTGGGCTCTGTAATCCAAAAATACGAAGCCCAACTTTACGTTAAACAATACTATGTTGGTAGTTGGGCTTAATAATCCCAAAACAACTTCATCCCCCTTTTATGTACGGAAATACTGTGGCTAAAAAATAGAAAAAATATAATGGGGGATCTATGATATTTGTTACGGGTGGAGGTGGATTAGGAACTCATCACATGAGCATAATAAGTTACATGAACAGATTCTATAAAATATAATTTTTCAATAAAACTCATGTTCACAGGACGAGTTTCTATAAAAATTATATTTATATGAAACTCACTATTCCCACGTTACAAGTTCCTAATCACTATAGCAATGCCATAGATCTCTAAACAATTTCCCACCAACTGTATATCTCGAAATAGTTTTGACACAAATATTATTTTACTAAATTTTTTGATTCCAATACCATATGATATATCTAATCTAAAATCAATCAATAATAAAAAAAAAATATTTGAATATATTTATCATAAAGAAAAACTCGAAATACCAAAATCCTATACGACCATTTAACAAGTTTATTATCTGTTCAAAGTCAAAGCATGTTTTTGTTGAAAAACATCAAAGCAGCCGGTGGCTTTCAAGAATTATTAAAAATTATTTTTTGTTAAATTATGCAAGGGATAATTACAACATTTAGTCACTTTAATTTAGGATATTTTCAAGATTAGTCCTTAAAGCTTCTACTATAAATACCCTAACTCATTTAGCTTCAAAATCATCCAAAAGCATTCTAGCTTTCTTCCAATACTAGAGAGAATTTAGAGAGTTTCTTAAGAGTTGTTTTCTCATTTTTATCAAGAGAGAATTATCATTGTTTTCTCCTTGGTAGATCGAGAGAAGTTGTAATTCCTATTTTCTCATAGTGAAATTCTTTTACCGTTGTCCGTGGTTTTTACCCTATATTATTTAGGGGTTTTCCACGTAAATTTTGTGTCTATTTTATCTTCATTTTTATTTTCTCAAATTATCAGTTGTGATTTTGCTCTATCCGATAGCCGTCTTCCGTAACAATTGGTATCCGAGCCAGATTAGAGTGTGTAATATATGCTTATTGTCTTTGTGGTTGCCACCAAAAGGTGGATCCTCCAACATAAGAAAATAAGAAGTTATTACCCATTCTTTAAAGGTTCATGAGAACTATTCATGATAGTGAAATAGTGGGAGCTATCCGTAAAAGAAGCTATGGCAACGAAATTTGATATTGAAAAATTCAATGGGAGAAATTTCTCATTGTGGAAATTGAAGATGAAGGCCATCCTGAGGAAAGACAGTTGTCTAGCAGCTATCAGTGAAAGGCCGGTGGATTTCACAGATGACAACAAATGGATCGAAATGGACGGGAATTTTATGGCAAACTTTCATCTAGCATTAGCAGATGAAGTATTGTCAAGCATCGAGGAGAAGAAGACAACTAAGGAGATATGAGATCATCTCACCAAATTGTACGAGGCCACATCGTTGCACAATAAAATTTTCCTTAAGAGGAAATTGTACACTCTCCGGATGTCAGAATCTACTTCAGTGACGGAGCATTTAAACACACTGAACACTTTATTTTCTCAGCTTACATCCTTAAGCTGTAAAATAGTAGAACAAGAACGTGCTGAACTTCTACTTCAAAGTCTACCTGATTCGTATGATCAACTCATCATCAACTTGACAAACAGTAATGTCACTAGTCTAGTCTTCAATGACGTTGCAGCTGCTGTTCTACAAGAAGAAAATCGGCGCAAGAACAAGAAAGACAGACAAGTAAATCTGCAACAAACAGAAGCATTGACAACGATGAAAGGGAGATCAACAGAACGTGGCCAAAGCAGCAGTCACAAAAATGGTAGATCGAAGTCAAGAAGAAAGAAGAATTTAAAGTGCTACAACTGTAGAAAGAAGGGTCACTTGAAGAAGGATTGTTGGAGTCTAAATAAAAACTCCAATCCATAAGGTAATACTGTAAACACTTCAGATGATGGAGATGCTCTATGATGTGAAGCGTCAACCACCGTGGAAGGTAGAAAGAGATATGCAGACATATGGCTCATTGATTCGGGAGCAACATATCACATGACCTCAAGAAGAGAATGGTTCCATCGTTATGAACCTGTCTCAGGAGGATCTGTGTATAGTTGTAATGATCATGCCTTAGAGATCATTGGCGTGGGAACCATCAAATTGAAGATGTATGATGGAACAATTAAAGTTGTTCGAGATGTGCGACACGTGAAAGGCCTGAAGAAAAATTTATTATCCTACGGATTGTTGGATAATAATGCAAGCAAGATTGAAACAGGGAAAGGAATCATGAAGGTGTTCCGTGGAGCGCTTGTGGTGCTGAAAGGTGAAAAGATAGCTACAAAAGTGTACATGCTGAAGGGAGAGACTTTGGTAGAAGCAGAAGCCTCTGTTGCCTCATGTAGTTCAGATTTGGCAATGCTATGGAATCATAAACTTGGACACATGTCAGAACAAGGAATGAAAGTCCTTGTGGAGCAAAAGCTACTTCCAGGCTTAACAAAGGTATCACTTACCTTGTGTGAGCATTGCATAACAAGTAAGCAACACCGGTTGAAATTCAACACGTCAAATTCTAGAGGCAAAAGTGTTCTAGAATTGGTTCACTCTGACGTATGGCAAGCACCAGTTACATCCCTATGCGGAGCAAAATACTTTGTCTCATTTATTGATTACTACTTTAGGAGATGCTGAGTGTACCCTATTAAGAAGAAGTCAAATGTGTTTTCAACTTTCAAAAACTTCAAAGCGCGGGTGGAACTTGATTCTGGAAATAAGATCAAGTGTTTCAGAACAAATAATGGAGGAGAATACACAAGTGAAGAATTTGATGACTTTTGCAGGAAAGAATGCATCAAAAGAGAGTTCACAGTGGCAAACACTCCTCAATAAAATGGAGTGGCATAGCGGATGAACAAAACCTTGTTAGAAAGAACAAGAGTAATGTTGAGGGATGCAGGCCTAGAAAAATCATTATGGGCAGAAGTAGTCAATACCGCCTGTTATTTGATGAATCGAGCTCCATCAACTGCAATAGAGCTGAAGACACCAATGGAGATGTGGACTGGTAAACCAGTTGATTATTCAAACCTCCATGTATTTGGAAGTATTGTGTACGTGATGTACAATTCCCAAGAAATTTCAAAGTTGGATCCAAAATCCAGGAAATGCAAATTCTTGGGGTATGCTGATGGAGTAAAGGGGTATCGCTTGTGGGATCCCACTACCCGCAAAGTGATCATCAGTAGGGATGTTATCTTTGTAGAAGATAAACTAAAAGGAAAAATAGGCGATGATAGTACTGAAAAGTTAGAGACTACACAGATACATGTGGAAAAGGAGGTTGAACAAGGAGATTCTTCAGAAGCAGAAGTGATAACTCCTTGAAAAGGTCATATTTTGAGACCTTTTCACTTAAGTTATTGAATGTCTAAGAGCCCATTTAGGACCATTTAGATGCATTTAGGAGCATATAAGTGCATGTGGTGGATTTCAGTTTGTTGTGGCATTTTATTTTTACAGCGGTGCTGCTTTATGGGAAATGTACTTGTCTGATGATGTGCAGGTGTTGAAAGCAAG